CTAGATTGTCTGTACTACCTAATCTGTTGTTTCTTTATGGTCGCTCAAATTATGCCCCAAACTGACAAGTTTGAGACACTTCCATCGAGTGCACAGATTCGGTCTTGTGGTTCGCCACCTCACATCTTTGAGCCCGACAGACTCTTCCTGGGATTCTCTTTTCGAAAGCCGGTTTCGTTTGATGCACCCTTTTGGGTTTAGCCACTTTCTGGCGACGGGTCGTTAAGGTAGCAGCCTTTCTCAGACTTCTCTTTGTACGCCTCTTTCTGATGGGGTTTCGCGTTGCCGAGGCATGTGTGCCAGAGCATGTGTGCAGTAAAACGGCCCTCTACATCCTCGCGGTTGGCAACCAAGCCGGAAGAAGGTGTCAATCCCAAGTCGTAATTTGCATAAGTCTGGGATTTTGGGCGTTGCCCTTTCCTCAGGCCAAACACACTGTCCAGTTCAAGGCAGCCAATAAAAAGGTGCCTTCTCCTCCAAGCCCACAGGCTCCTCCAATCTGAGGGAATGGAAACTTGTAAAATGTGAAGACTTGACTGTAGCCAATTCATGTGTCTCGGTGGACAGAAGAGACGCGTAGACTTGGCTTCTTTCTCTCACTTCGAGACTAAGACTCACCTCGAAATGCCGTTAGGAGAGATGAGGTAGTAAAGTATATGAAGAGGTGGAGTAATTCATGCTGGATATTGATTGGTAAAGTAGAGTAAAGTATAGTGGGCTAGTGTATGGCGTGGTATGCTAGAGGAAATTCTAGTAGGCTAGGGTAATCTATAGTGAAGTAATATGCGGTATAGTATGGTATGGCATAATATAGTACAGTAGGGATGGGGTAGCGTAGGATATAATCTTTTCGTGGTTAGAAGGATAGGTTATGATGGGGTATTCTATGATATAGTATAGTAGGTTAATCTATAGTGGGATATTGTACGGCATAGTATGGTATCATATAGGATATTAGCGTAATGTATAATAGGGTATTTTTGAATAGGATAGTATGGTGGATAATTGGGTAGGGTATAATATATAATTTATTGGTAATGTAGGTTTTTGTATGTTATAGTACAATACGGTAGCGTAGAGTATACACACATCGCAATCTCAATTATCGTATATGACCTCGCTTTACACTCTTTGTGTGCCTTTCTGGTGTTTATACGAAAGAGTCTAGGGTTCAGGGTACTTGGGTAGCATGAAGAACGCAAAGCTACCTGTCTTGGTATCTTTAAGTCTTACGGCTTATATCCCCTCCAATGCTCTGGTCTGCCAAGACGGAATTTTATATGAATTTTTGTGTATGTTCTGCAGAAATAACATGAGCAGTAGCAGATGATTCATCTGCATCTGTCTTCCTGCAGTAGATTCTGCGCCAAGTAAAAATGGTGCCGTGCAGTTCGTGTCACACCTTCAATTCTATACACACACCGGAATAAAACGTAGATATGAACGTATCAGGGACTATCGGTAACGCAGCATTCGTTGATGCCGACTAATTGGTGCAGCATTCATCATACAAACTCATATTCGAAATGGAAATAAGCACAGCATATTGGAGAAAAAATAAATTCACGCAGATCGAAAACTCCTCTTCTTGCACAACACGACAACTCAGAATAGTCACAATTGAGTCACAGAGTAAGTTGATAAACAAGGCAATGGAACTGCAATTTCCACAGTGATAGGATCTCAAGTCCTTATGATTAAGAAGGGGATCAACCCACTTTTTCATTTAATTTTGCATATTACTGACAAGTCAATAGACAAGTAGACAAAGTTCATCTGAGGAAAATGGAGTAAGCATGGTCCAATCTTGCTTCCGAGATGACGGCTATTTGTCCTACTTAAAAGTTGTGAGTAGTTGCAAAGATTGAAAGTCTGCGATTTCACATACTTTCTACTCACAGCTTATCAGGAGACAAAGGATTTCCAAGTGTGGACCACATCCCCCTAAGGGTGCATCCACATGGGATTAGAGTGAAACTACAAATAAATGGAAGAGAGCGAAGAGAAGCTTAACTCGACAGAGAGAAAGGCTACTATGAAGAGGCAGTGAAATAATTCTTCTTTTTCACACACAAAGCTCGGTGGTCGCCAGTGAGCAGATGTTCTATGCGGCCCAGAGAGGCAAGAGGAGGCTCGAGTATGCGTGAGTGTGTGTGTGTGTTTGTGTAAAATAAAGCGATTAAAAATCTTAAGCATCTGCAGCGCCAATCGAATTAAATGGAATTCTGCATCTTTTGGGCCTCTTAAGGCGCCTAAAGAGCGCCTCGAGAAAAGTGGTTGCGCAGGCTGTTGGTGGGGAAAAGAGAAATCGGAGGAGAGACAGAAAGAGACATTCCATCTCGTAAAGTGTACTCAAAAAGAATGTGAATCTAAGCTAGGCATGACAAGCAGGTCTGTCGGTAGCACCATTGCAGCGAGGATTCCAGATTTTCCTGCAACTAAAGTCGCCCTCTAACCCCATTTAATGAAGAGATGAACCAACCAAAAAGAGGGTACATTCCAGGGTATTGGCTCTCGGAGATGACAATACATGACAAACGTGATGTTCTGAGCTTACTCTAATCCAATTGGCTGGCGCTCTGGCGTCGAAGAGAGCGTCCATGGCAACGCGCAAGTTTTGGTTCATGACGACAGTGCCTTCAATGGCCAAAAGTAGATCCTGGAGGGTGCTGGTCACTTCACGAATGACATGATCCATTCGGTCGACCTCTTGGCGTAGAAAGATGGTCATCGGCTGAACACGACCCATGAGATCGAGGCGTTCTGCGACCGTCGTAGGAGAATAGGCCAGTGGAAACCGAGCGAGCATGTCGCGACAGAGGCCGGCAACTGTGTTCTCACGCGTTGTCGGCTGCTTTTCGAGCAGCGGTGCCGCCGCAGACGCGCTACTCCCTCCAGCCCCGCTGCCACTGCCCCCGCCTCCAATGTCCCGTTTGACCTCCTGTCCGGCAGCCAGACCCACTTCTCTGCCGCTTGCCTCAGAAATGTCGCTGCTCACCGAATCGGGGTCGTTTGGCCGGAAGGCCAGAATGGTCTCCAGCATGTGGCGAGCTGCTCGAGTCGAGTAACTAGGGTGTAGGAGGATTGAGCAAGAAAAGGAACAAGTTAAAGAAGAAGGAGAAAAAGAAAGATATAAAGAAGTAGAAGAAGAAGAAGAAGAAAGAGTAGAAGAAGATTGAGGATAAGAAGGATAGAAAGAATGGGAAGGGTAAAAAGAAAAAATTAAAGAAGCAGAAGAAAAAGGAAGAGGGAAACAAGAAGCTGAAGAAGATGGTGAAGCAGAAAAAGGAGGAGAAAAATAAGAAGATAAAGGAAAAGAGGAAGTAGGATTAGAATGCGGGGAAGAAAAAAAAAGAAAGTGGAGAAAAAGAATTAAAAGGAAGAGAAGAAGAAAGTAAAAAGGAAGAAAAATAAGGTGAAAAGAAAGAAGAAAAATAATAAGATTAAGAAGAAGATGATAATGCAAAAGAAGGAAAAGAAGAAGAAGACTAAGAGTAAATTGGAGCAGAAAAAAATGGTGAGAAAAATAAGGAGAAAAAGAATAAGAGGAATAAGGACAAGATGAATTTAGAAGGAGAAGAAAGAAGATAAGATAAATAAGGAGAAGGATGAGGAGTAGAAGAGGAAAAAGAAGGAGAAGAAGAAAAGGAAAAGGGAGCAGAAAAAGAGGAAGCTGTTGGAGAAGAAGATATTGATCGACTTGAAAGGAGCAAGCCAACTTTTGGTTTTAGATACAGAAAGAAGTTCTGGCCTCGTCTTGCCTAAAATGCGGTAACTATTTCTATAAGTCATTCATAAGTTGGGAGCAAAACTGCTATTCCACTTTGTCTGATTAAGCAGATTTATGGTAAAAAGTTGAACAGGATCTCACTTAGACATGCCTCCCAAAATACTCGACATTTGCCATCTTGTCACCTTCAGATGGGTTTGATTATCTTGTATATAGTATTTGCAACTGCTCATACATAATAGATAAAACGATGAGTCATCGTCTCGGAAGCAAGGCTGGGTGTCAAACACGAAAAGTGGGCAATATTCCCTCCATTTTCCTCAGATGGTCTTGGTCTACTTATCGCTTGACCTGTCAGTAGCATGCAAAATTAAATGAAAACATTGTCAGTCGTCCCAGTCGCACCAAAGTAGCCTTGAAAGAGACAAATCAACATAGTCAAGGTCGATTGTGACTTTCAATGCACATTACTGTACTCTCAAAATGGGCCATAAATGAATGAACTGGAGCCTATCAGATAAAGTATTATTTGTCATTGCAAGTGACCAACTGGCTTAGGCTGACTAAGTAGTAAGTGCTGGTTTTGATGTATTTTGAATAATGAGATATTCTGGTCCTTTCACTGTGGAACTTGTAGCTCCATTACGATAAGCGACGTAGGTTGACTGGCCCATCAACATCATTATCATCATCGTGCGCTTCCCGCGAGATCTACGCCAATTGGCTATCCAGCAGTCTTGTTCAAGAGCTCTGATGTTCTCTAAACTCATTTAGTCGGCTGAAACTGCACGTCTATGCTACTGTCGAAAATCTCGTGGTTTCCTTGACAATTAGACGAACTTTCAATGTCCTCTAAGTGACAGGCAAGTCTGCGTGATTATTGTGTGTTTTGCTCTTTAATTGTCTGTGAACTTTATTGCAATTGTTTTCACTCTTTTTTATCGACTGCTCTGGCACTTTTAGTCTTTCTTCTCAACGCACATCCTAAACTGGCGTAGCAGAAGGCAATTCACAGCAAGCGACTGCGGAGAGGGCCACCTCTTCTTGTCGACCCGTTGCCGGCAGA